GGGTGGTAAATGTGCACTCACTCTGGTCGTTGTTCTGTCCCGCAGCCTGCGGTGTCCTGGCCATCGACAAGGCCAGGGAGCCCATCACGCTGGTGCTGGCAGAGGATGGGACCATTGTGGACGATGAGGATTATTTCCTGTGTTTGCCAGCCAACACCATGTTCGTGGCACTGGCCAAGGATGAGAAATGGTCCAGCAGAAGCTCAGGTAGGCTGTGAGGGAGCATGGAATGGGTGTTTGGAACACAGCTGGTGGCACTAGGGTGTCTCAGGAATGACACTGGTGGCTCTCGTGTCAGACAGGGGAACGTCCTGGCTCTCGGGAGCTGCGGATGAAGTGGACAGTGGTGCAGAGAGGTGGAAGCAGCTGGCCAGGCAGCTGAAGGATGACCTGTCTAACATCATCCTGATGTCTGAAGAAGACCTCCAGGTACAGTGGGGAAACCCCCAATCCCTGTGCTTGGCTCTGCCTGTCACCCATAGAACAGATCACTACACAAGATCTCAGGCTTTGTTCATCTCCTGCTGTTTGGCTGTTGGTGCCAGAGTGTCACCCATAGAACAGATCACTACACGAGATCTCAGGCTTTGTTCAGCTCCTGCTGTTTGGCTGTTGGTGCCAGAATCAAATCTCTCCTTGAGGGGAAACACTGAAGTGTGTGAGGAAGGTGCTCTGAATCCCTGACTGTCCCTCACAGTGTGTCATTCCAGTTCTGGGAGGGCAAGACAAGATTTGGCCAAATGACAGCTGAGGTGAGCTCCTTCCCTACAACCAGACTCCTGTGTAACGTGTCCAGAGGGAAGGCTGAGCATGATGTTGTGTTTGTCTGCTCCAGAGGGGTTTGGAGAACTGCTGTCACTTTCCAGAGCTGATTGATTATCTGACTGCTTAACACCTTGTCTGTGGTGAGGCATGGCCACAACTGCCCCTTGTCCTCCCCAGTGAGCTGCTCCTTTGAGTATTCCCATGCACTGTGAAGAAATGGCACTTTGCCACAAGTTTTCAGGATTTCTGTTAAAAATGCACATGATTCCACACCTTTCTGGATGCCTTTTGGCTTTTGGTGGCTGGTGGAGCCTCTCAGAACTCAGCTGACTTGCTATGACCAGAAGCCTTGTGGAACGTGCTGGGTTTGAGGAGGGTTTGTACTGCAGTCAGTGCCACGGGATGAGTTTCTAAGGAAAACTCTCACTGTTTTAAGGTGCTTATCGATGTGCCACGCTCAGACCTGGCAGAAGAACTTGGCCAAAGTGAAACCAAAGTCCAAGTGCTGCAGGACACCCTTCAGCAGGTGCTGGACAGACGGGAGGAGGAACGTCAGTCACGGCAGCTCCTGGAGCTCTATCTCGAGGCCCTGAAAACTGAAGACAGTGTCTTAAGCAAAGCAGCAGGTAGGGAGCACTGGGATGCTGGAGAAGGAGCTTTCCAGAGATGCCTGAAATAGTTGAGTGGAATAAACAGTGTGAAGGACTGGAGTGAGTCATTTGCTCAGCAGCTGTTAATGGGGTTGATGCAAGAGCTGGTGTGGTGTATCTAGTGTGAGAATTCTCTGGGCAGGTGAGAGTCCTCTCACTGCTGTGTCACATTTCTCAATGCCTGAGAGTAGAATACTGGGAGAAAAGCTTCAGTTATATAGTCCTCCTTAACACTATGGATTTCTTAAGTTAGAGGATGTACCTGGATAGGATGTATGTAAACCTCACAACCATCAAAGCAGTGCAGGCCCCTTTTCCTGTCCTGTGTTTGTCAGGGGCTGTGCTGATTCTGCTCCTTTCCAGAACCTGAGGCTGCACCAAGAAAGGAGATGGATGTGGTTGACACCGGCACCAGCAGCACAGGCCCTTCAGCCACAACAGCACTGAGTGAGCAGATCCTTACTGTTCTGAAGGAGAAACCTGCTCCAGAGCTCTGCTTGGACAGTCAGGATCTAGAGGTGGGTGAGAACAATATAACCATATCCTGGCAAATCTCTCCCTCTGGAGAGAGAGGCTACAAGGGTAGCTGTCCTTGCTCCTGGAGGCTGTGATGTCAGTAGAGCTCAGTCTCAAAGTGGTGAGATTTAATCAGTTTCTCCTCCTCAGTGACACTACCCCCAGTTTGGAGCAACTCCTCTGTTATGTAATGTAACAGCTGACACTGGTCCATGTACCTTATTCTGTCCTCTGAAAAGCCACAAAATTATCTTGGGTTTGGTCTCTGACAAACCAGTCAGCTGTCTGACCAGCAAGGGCCTTTGTGTATGCAGATGCATCTAGCCAGACTTCCTTTGTACATCCCAAATCAAAATTAAAACCTGATTCTGTAAAACAGCATCATTTAACCATGAGAAAGGTATTCCAAGCTGTGAACTTGCTCCTCTTGCCTTTCCCTGCTGTAAAAACTAAGTCACTGCTTCAAATATCTCAACAGAGCTTCAAGCTCTGAGTGCTGGCAGAATATTGGAAATCCACTGCCCCATGGGAGAGGTGAGGAGGTCTGAGAACATCTCCAGTTCCCAAGTGCCAGTACTAACCAGGTGCCTTGTTCCTGTGGGCAGAGGGTTAGTGTGGGGGAGTCAGCAGAAAACACTTAGCAGTCTGTGTCCCTACAGCTGGTGCTGAAGGAGGACACAGCAGCCCTGGCCTCAGCTCTGAGGTGGGACAAGCAGGAGGCTGGAGCCCTGCAGGAATCCTGTGACCAGGAGCTCTCCAAGCGCCTACAGCAAGTGCAGACGTTGCATTCCCTACGGAGCACATCCAAGGGCAAGAAATCCCTGCCCTCGGGGGACTGGCCCAGCTCAAAACGCAAGAAATGAGACTGCAGTGCTGTTTGCATTTCAGCTCTGTGCTTGGCTGGGGTTTGTTTTGTGCATTAGAATCAATACAAGCAAAGGTCCATCCTGGGAGCCACGGTTTGCTGGTCATACTGTGGTGTGGCTATAGACAAGTGAAATCTGGACATTGTCCTGAGGCTTAAACTCCTGTGATGATTCCAATCATGTGTTGCCAAAGGGATTTTGACTTTTTTTGCAGAATACTGGGACAATGGGATTGCTAAGCACAGCATGTAAGGGTTCAGCTCTGAAAACCTGGTTGGGAGCCAGAAGCTTCCAAGTGATAGTGCTGGATGCAGCTCCCGAAGCCCTGGGCAGTTTGCTCACTGTGTCCTCCTGCCATGGTCAGAGCAAAGGATGCAGCTCTCTGGAGGACACTTTGAGGCACAGTTCAGGGACAGGGCAGAGGGTTTAGCCAGTTGCTGCCTGGCTTTGAGTCCAGCCTGGGCTTCAGGAGCTTGAATCCTCACACTGATTTCATCAGTTAAAGGAAATTCATTTTATTTACCTTTGGTGCTTTTTCTCTGTAAGGAGCTCTTGGGTGCTGGTGAGAACTATCATGGACAGCACAGCAGAGGTGGAAATGAAATAGTTTGACTTGTATTTGGCCTGCTGTGTTATTCTCCTAATCACTTGTGTATTACCATGATGCTTTTGTACTAACTGGCTTATTTTTAAACTCATTCAAGATTTTGTTCTCATCTCATTAAAACCTTTTTAGCTTACTGTTGGACTAGGTTTGATATTTCCACCAGCTGCTCTGATTAAACAATCATAACTACGTTGATATGGCTATGAAAGCAAGAACAAAATATCCAAAGTGCAAAATGTATCAGAAGTGGAAGCAAGGAGGAAGCCAAGCAGGTACTGGGGAAATTAAGTAGCAGCATGGAGGGTGTTGCACCTACTGAGTATTAATATTAACAGGGAGAATGTTTTGCCTTGAAGTCTTTATTTAAAGGATTTCCATTTCAGTAACAGTCAGATACCTTTCTGTGAGCAATTATGGCATTTTGGCTGAAGCTGTACTGAATTCTGACAGACTTTGCATTTTCAGAACAGTAAAAATCCAACTAATCAAGTTCACCTAAAAATTCATTCCTGGTGCTAACCTGCAAGAGGAATCTTTAACAGGCCAATTCTGGTTTCTCTAGGACAAATAACAGAAAATGACCTGAGACATTACTTGAAAGGCAAATCATTCCAAGTTGGAATCTTCATTTTCAGCCACAGCTGCTTCTCTTTCCCCAGGAGTTCTCTCTGCCTTAGCTGCACTGGACTTCTTTTTCTTCTTCTCCTTTTGCTCCATGTTGCTTGATGCAAGCTCTTCATTCTTCTGGGTGATGTATTTTAGCTGAGAACAATAAAGTGATCAGTCCACTACCAGGGAACTTCATTTGATCACAAAAAAAATTAGAAAAGTTGAAAAGAAATTAACAGGGCAAATTCTTATTGCAAGACAGATGACAGACACTGCAGAGAGGCTTTTACTCAGCCTTCTCAGGCAAGTTCATGGTGCATATTTCAAATCACATGTGGAAGGAAAAAAATCTCACATCAAATTAGAATTAGTACTGGCAGCATCAGTAAGTGAATTTGCTTAAGCAACAGTTGATTATCCTTCATTCAAATGCTCTTAGGAATTAACTGGTTTAAGAACATTGTGTGAGACAGAAGATGCTGTGAATCTCACCAGGGAACTGCTCCTTCTAGCCAAAAGCTTCACATCTTCTGTGTTGATTGTGCTTCGTTTTGCATGTCTGCACAAAGGTCAAAAACAGCTCTTAATATATTTGTCTGTAAGAGGCCACAGAGCATCTCCTTCAGAGACTGAATTCACTGGCCAAAGGGCCCAATGGGGACCCAGCAAACCACACCTGCCCCTTCTAACCAAGCACAAAACACTGTTTTAGCAAGTTTGTTTGTATACATCTAAATTCCCCCAGTCCCTGTGTGAATATTTAGCATCCAGAACTTCAGCCACCACTGTGCTGTTCCCTCCCACTTGTCAGCAGGTCACTGTGTTAGGTTTGAACTGCTTAAAACACTCTCTTACCTTCTTGGAGCAACCAGGTGAAACACAGGCAGGTTGGTAAGCACCTGCACCCCCAAACCATCCAGCCCTGCTGTGTATCAACACACTAGACAATCACACACAGTCCTAAATCTGAACAATCAACTTGTACCACATACATGAACTTCCAGTATCAAGAAGAACCTAGAGGGAATATCTGTTTCCTAACTTCACAGCCACTATTTAAGCAGCCAACAGAACCATTTAAGCCTAGAATTACAGGATGTGTTTTAAAGATTATCTGACACACAAAAAAAAAAAAAAATGCCTTGGTAACAACCAAGTGTAGCAGTGCCTACCTTGCAAACATTTCCAGGTCCTTTGCAAAGGTTTCTAGAGAAAAGACAAAGATGCCAATATTTTAAAATGCTAACTGTGAGTGGGCAGAGATACATAATACACAATGTGTTACAGAGGTGCAGCTGAGAGTTGTCAGTGCTGGGCATTAGGTGCCACTCCCTTGCACAGGCAGATGGACGCACCATCTCCACAAGCATTCAAATGCTGTTTCAGGACTGGAAAGCAGAAACACTGGGTTTTGTACTTTTAAAAATGCAATGGAAGAGAATGGCATCAGTGACACCTATTTGACTGCTGTTGTTTTACAGCCCCATCCCTCCAGCAGTGGCTCCTGAAGGAGCAGGGCACATGTGTACCCAGGGACCAGCAGGTCTTGTTCAAGTACCAGCAGGTCATATACAGGTACCACCAGATTATACCCAGGTCCCACCAGGTCATACCCAGGGACCAGCAGGTCATACCCAGGTACCTGTATATGACATAGTATATGACCTGCTGGTCATATCCAGGTCCCACTAGGTCATATCCAAGTACCACCAGGTCATATTATCACCAGGTTATATCCAGGTACCTGTATATGACATGATATATGACCTGCTGGTCATAGCCAGGTAACAGCAGGTAATATCATCACCAGGTCTTACCCAGGTCCCACCAGGTCTTACCCAGGTACCAGGAGGTCATACCCATGTACCACTAGGTCATACCCAGGTACCAGCAGGTCTTATCCAGGACCCACCAATCATACCCAGGTCCCACCCAGGTCATACCTAGGTACCATCAGGTCATATCCAGGTCCCACCAGGTGATATCCAGGTCCCACTAGGTCATACTCAGGTCCCACCAGGTCATATCCAGGTCCCACCAAGTCATACCTAGGTCCCACCAGGTCATATCCAGGTCTCACCAGGTGATACCCAGGTCCCACCCACATCCCACCAGGTCATACCTAGGTCCCACCAGGTCATCCCCAAGTCCCACCAGGTCCCACCCGTGTCCCCCCTGTCCCAGGTCCCCCCGCACCGCACCGCACTGTCGGAAGGTGATCTCCGTGATGGCCGCGATGGTTTGTTTGCTGAACCTCACGTCCTTATCCTCCTCCACCTCCTGGCACAGCCCCCCGACAGCATAGTGCAGCGCAGCCCTCAGCCTCTGCGGGACAGGAGGGACAGGGACGGCTCAGCCAGCGCCGGCACAGCCCTGAGGGACCCGAGACAGCCCCGAG